TGACCCCCCGCTGCCTTGTCTCAAAACTCACACATGCATCATTTGATCCTATATTTCACTTCTATCTCATCCTTTCCAATCCAAATGCACTTTCTCCTGGGAGAACAGTGTGTTTGCTCTTGTGCAGGTATTCTGTAATCATAGATGACCAAACTGTAATAACATTTCAGGTGTAATCATTTTAGGTGGTGCAACTTTATGCTTAGTGAGCACATCTGCTTTTCAGATCATTAAAACCTTAATTTATTGAGCTTTTTAAGAATCTAATGTCAAATACAGACAATAAAGGCCATCGTGGTCTCACATCCAAACCATAACAACCTTGTTCAAAGGTCCACAGCAGTTAATGTTTATGTGGTGCTTGTTGTCGTGTCTGGGTTGCTGTTGCTCATACTCATGACTTACAGTTTAAATGCCTTTTAAAAACTAATGTTTGAACTTCACCTTGATGTGAATGTATAATTCACATTCCAGTGTGTGTATGTATGTATGTATGTTGTATGTATGTGTGTATGTTGTAGAATTGAATAAAATGTGAGTTTTTAAAGCATTCTACCCACAAAAATTATAAAAATAATGTTTGTTGATTTAAAAATTGCAGGATGGACACATTTCTGTTTACTGACTTAATCACAAAATCATATGTGCCTAAAATCCTAGAGCACTGGTTAGGTAGAATTATAGTTTATCTGTGAAAATGTAGCGAGCGATGGCAAGGATCATAGTGTATGTGATGTACTGTACTTAATAATTTGTGATTTTACTAATTTGACAAGCAGGCAGAGCAACCCCGTCTTGCCTGGTACCATCAACAATTCTCTGATTCATTTGTATTTGTTCTCAGTAGTGAAAAAGCTCTTTGATGCCTTTATTGGTGCCTTTTTTGCAGCCCATTTCCAGCTTACCTTTAGTAACAGACTGGTTGCAAGTCACATGAGTCTTAAAACAGGCATTTGAACAAGAAAATTGGTTACAATAAACACATGAAGGGAATAAGTTGCCCCAGTTAAATAGGTGTGAGTAACTTGGTGTTCCTTACTCCCAGTACTACAAACGTAGTAAACATGCTGGTAGTGCATTGTAAACACTTAGTGATAATTAGGTTATTAATTCACAACAAAAGGCAGCAGACACCTCACCGCTCCAAAGTTTAACAGTTCGTGTCTCATTTGGTTTGAAGTAAAAAATAAATCCTACAACGGTTTAATCCTCATCCTATGCTGGTAATGGAATACAGGCCAATATTAGAGGATTTATGGTATATCTCCACAATATACCGTGCTCAGCAAGTGACTGCACCCCTTTAAAAAGTATGCATTTAATCAGTAGCTCAATGAATAAAAGAACAATTTCCAGAATTTTCACAAGGCTGGCTTTCATGGAACAGTTGTTTAACTCCATAAAATGAAATTAAGGTTAATAATATCACAGATCACTAAATCTTCAGTTTTACTAAAATTGGTTGAAGAAAAAATGAATGCACCCCATAACAAAAACTACTACATCTAGTATTTTGTATGACCACCTGTGATTTTCAAGGACCACACCAAGTCTTCTAGACATGGAATGAACAAGTTGGCGACATGTTGCAACATCTATCTTTTCCATTCTTCAAGAAGAACCTCTTTTAGAGTCTGGATGCTGGATGGAGAGTGATGCTCAACTTGCTGCTGCAGAATTCCCCACAGGTGTTGGATCGGGTTCAGATCAGGAGACATAATTGTTCATTCAATCACTTTCAACCTGTTCCTCTTCAGAAATGCAGCAGTAGCTTTAGATGTGTGTTTTGGATAATTGTTGCGTTGGAAAAGTGCACGACAACCAAGTGCACGGAGGGATGGCAGTATCTTCCCCTTCAGTATCGAGCAGTACATTGTTGAGTTCATGATACCATCAATGCAGTCCCACATCCTCTGCAGTGTGTGCCGTATGATGTCACAGGAAACAATCACTCCAGGCATTCTACTGCTTTAGCTAACTGCGGTAAACTTACTTCTGTTGAATTAGACCCTAAAAGTTACAGAACCTCAAATATACCTTATGTAATAGAGCCTTATCTTCTTAAAGAGCAAGTCACACCAAAATCTACTTTTTTTTGCTGATAACGTGTATAAATAAGTGTATTATTGTGTTGTAGACATGTGTAGTTGTTATTTTTGCATTTTGGTGCATTTTCTTTAAAAATTTCAACCTAAAACCTTCAGTCCAGCGCCCTCTTCAGCTCAAAAATATTCTACTCAACAGCAGTTTGAAATCTGTCTCGACCAAGCCCCCACAATGCGGGACAGAAATTGAGTCCAATGCGGAAGTGAAATAAATTGCAGTTCCAACCTCATCTGCTGGGGCTGGTGTCAGAAGCGAGCAAATCCTCATTGACTCCCATGTTAAAAATACCAATTTCACAGCAGAAATAAACATGTGTACAACCTGGTACCAAAACCATCGACATATAAATATTGGACAATGGGTTTCCATAGACTCCAATAACACGTTTTTGAAGAAAAATGGGAGGTGGCCACCACCGCCATTTTGACCGTGTCACAGGTTCCGTCAAGCCCAGACAATTCCACAAAAGGGAAGAGAGGTGGAGCTGAGGGTGGGGCTGTAAGGCTGGGATCAACTGACGACACCCGGTCGAACTAACTACAAGCTAACCTGAAGCTAACCCAGAGCTAACGCGGAGGTGGGAGCTAAGCTAATGGAGGTAGCAACCTAGCTACAACCGGAGTTAACTGTGCACAACACCAGAGCTTCTGAGTCAGAGATACGCCGGGCTGACCGCTGGGTAAAACCGGGTGGAACACAGAGGTCTCCCGAGACCTCCTCAAGCCGGCAGCCGCACAGCAGACAAGCGCCGCTGCGATCTGAGATGCGCAGAGCTGCCGCTGGGGAGAACCGGGTGGAAAGGTTTCCATCCCAGAGCTCCACAAGCCGGCAGCCCGCACAGCAGACAGAAGCCGCGGCGATCAGAGATGCGCCGAGCTGCGGGAAGGGGAGAACCGGGTGGAAAACATCGGTCTCCCGAGAGCTCCACAAGCCGATAGTCGGAACCCAGCTCCACCAACATGTTATATTTCAACCCATTTTCTAAAGTGCAGCATTATGTTAAATGCACTGGGTTTTACCCCATTACATTTAAATGTCATGGTTAAAGAGTACATGTTAAAATCTAAGCTCAGCTAGTGCACGAGCGGCAGTGACCTAAAATCTAAATTTAAAAGCTCAAATACAGAGAAAGTAGGATGTGGGTGAAAAGGGAAAGGTGGTGGTGATGGGGTACCTTGATAGACTGGTGCATTTCATCACTTCTGGGTAGACATTGTATCTCTATTTGTTTTCACTGATGATTAAAGTAGATGCTCATGGGTTTTCTTTTGATTCTTTGTAGAGTTAATGATCTTCATAGCAGACTCCGAGGCTGAGTAAAACCTTGCATGCCGTCTTCACTCATCCAGCCAGTATATCTTCTTTCTAACTGAGGTCTTTTAACTAAAAACAGAGCTTTTTGTCTGTGCAAATACGGCAAATGGGAAATTCACCAGATTGAGTGAAGCATTGAGTCTTATTTTCCACAGTTTGTTGCTTTGAAAAGAAATATTAGAAGCTTCCTAGCCAGAGGCTTGACAGTTCCCCTGCTGCCACAAGTACTCCTTTTCCACCCTATTATCTCCTACTCCCTGGGCCTTTTGTTTGGTCCCTGGCTTTTATAGGAGGGTAGGAGAGGGCCATGAGGAAATGAGCTGACCTCAGGGTCATAAGTGGAGTCAGGGGGCTGGAACTGGACCACGGCCCTGCCAACCTCACTTTCTCAGGGCTGGTTCAGGTTAAAGCAAGAAAAGCAAAGAAAACAGGTCGAGTTTGGGGACGGGGTGCCATCTATCCTCAACCCCACGTCGTATGACTTTAATTAAGCCAGATTTGACTTTGTTTACAGGCCCCAGTAGTCTTAAATCTTCTGGCTCTTTGCCCTTCCTCCCAAAGCCCTTATTTCACTATCCCCTCGTACCTTGGGTCCTTCTTTTCTTCTTCCCTTTAATATGGTGTCAGACATCTATTTATTATGCTGTTTTAACTGGTTTTCAGGAACGAGTTACAAGCTAACTGGGAATCCACCAAATAGGATTTGAGGGACACCCCTTCAAGATGTCAATCTGTTAGCGATATGAAAGGCTGCTCACCCCACTAAACTCCCCCTCTACTGGAACTCGGGGGGGCTCTTTATGGCCCCATCAGGCACCCGCATGGACTTACAGCTGACCTTGTGACCTAGCAGTTGAAGCCATATGAGGAGGGAGTCTTTCTCTTGTCCCATTATTACCTCTATGTGTGTTATTTTTTTTTTGGGGGGGGGGGGGGGGGGGGGGGGGCTTGTTGATGTCCCTTTTCTTGACAGATAATTCTCAAGTTGCAATTTCATTAAACACTGTTCCTTTGACCCAATAATTTTTATCAACCTCAATTTTTGGGATGATTTTCCTTTGTAAATTGTGGATTTTTGGGACATGTTTAAAGCCTAAAACACACAGTGGTGTGCAATTGTTTCATCTAATGAATACTTTCAAATTTTTGTCCATTCATTAAACTTTTTCTTTTTTTAACCTCCAAGCTGATCTCCCACATAAAAGATTTACATGCATCTCCCCTGCTTTTATTACGGAGAGACTTGCATATTTGCCATACAGCAAAAACTCCCTCAACAAGCCCCATCACAATAAAAATTTACACAAACGTCGAAGAGCTGTTACAACTGGCTTACTGGCATGTTAGTAGCCAATAAGCTCTGTGCACAATACATAGTCTCGGGGCGTTTGCTTGCTAATTGGATCAGTTGGGTTAAATAAATGTTTAAGTTCTCCCATGTACAGAGGCGACCTGTTAGGAGCCCGTGTTCTCTGCAGAACAGGAACAAAGCAAATGAGGAGGAAAAGGAACGAAAATAAAGTGAGAGCAGGCGTCAAGAAAATCACAGGTGGAAATACTCAAATATTTTGTCATTTCAGGTTTCAAATCCAGCGAGGAACTAGTGACCCCACAAGCTACAAGAGTCTAGGAGACTGCTTCAGGACAATCTTCTACAAGGAAGGGTATGTTATTCATTTCCATTTTACAGTATTACAGAAAACAAGAGTACAAATGTTAAAGATGGTGTTTGTTTTTACATGTATAATAAGTTATTTAAAGTTAATAGTTGCTTCAAGCAAAGATCACAAACCTTTTTTTGCATAATTTGTGTTTTCTTCCTTGATGTAGAGAAAAGTTTATTGATTTGAAGAAAAACTACAAATAAGCCAAAAAATGTAGTACTTTCTAAATGCATTCAAATGTCATCAAAAAGAGTATTTAAACCATGCAACAGTTTTGTGTTGCAGTAAAAAGAAAATATTGGGCTTTAGGTTAATTCAATAATTTCCAATGGAACCGTTGTGCCACAGGAGGAGTGTTCACATTAAACCTTCATTCTACTGGCATCCATTTTTCCCAAAATGCTTTATTTGAGTGATGGTTGTAATATAATAGGTTTAGTAAGAGAAGAGCAGCAGGCTTTGTAAATTTGGCTGATTCACCAGCTTTGCAGAAATGTACACAGAAAACGTGAGAGCGTGTCTTCCCACTCTCTGGATTTTAGGAGACTAACTTAAAGCAGTCAGCCTGCCTCGGTCCCTCCTCCTCCGCCCGCCTTGTGACAGCTCTGTGAGACAGTGCAGGTGTAGGAAAAAGTGTTTGCCACTTGTTCTGTTTACGGCGAGTCGACAGTTTTACTGCGGATATAAAGTTGATCTGCTGTGAGGTGTGAGTGAGCGCGTGGTGAGAGGGCGGGTTAGTGACAGTTGGAAATCCTCAGTTGGCTGGAGTTCATCAGACACAGCTATCCTGCTACAGTAGCTGTGCCGTCCACACACACACACACACACACACTTATGCTGTCAGTGTGTTAACACCTTTGTATAAGTGTTGTTGTTTGGATAGGATTTTGAGGAAATCTGTCCTTTTAAAAGTCAAAAGAGGAGAATGAAGCAATAAAAATGTTTTTCCTGATTTAGGTCATGTGATATTAGAGAAGTGAAGGTGTGTTTTTGGGATCAGGTGGGGTGGAGGGGGTTATGGTACGTCTCCACTACGTCGTTGGCCACTTATTATTGACGGTGTATTTTTGCTGTAGTCTGTAATCCCCACCCAGTAGTCCGTCTGGCCCACATCCAGACCAAACCATTTATAATTTATATAAGTAGTGCAAGGCCCTGCTGTTGTAGGATTATTAATACAAATAAACATTCCCACCCAACCTGTGGCCACACCAGGTCTTTACACTCTTAAAGGCAATGACAGAGGAAATAAGAGATTTTACTTAGCTCAGTAGTTAAATTGAAGAACAGCACGGACAACTTGATGGTTGGACTTGTTTTATCTGCATGATTATTTCAGAAAGATTTAAACACTTGTGTCTGAGGACATAGGAAATATGTAGAACAAAATATGTAAGATATGATACAGAAGTAGCAAATCTGTGTGTGAAAGTAAATTGTAAGGCCAATGTCTTTCTTTAGCATGTAGACCCAGCCTTCTCGACTGGTTTTCAGCATTTAAGTGCTTTTTATTGTACATCATAAAAGGTGAATAGTGAATACTAATGTTTATCCCTGAGTATGTGTGTTTGTTTTTAACTCATTAACCGCCAGCCATTTCCTGATCAGCAAAGCTCGTCGCTGCCAGCGTTTTTCAGCGTTTTCACTGTTTTTTTAAGAGTCACAGAACGTTGCACGCTAAGATGATGTCAACGCCAAAACTAACAAAACAAAGAGGAGGCTCACGTCTTACATCAGAAAGAATTTGCACGTTTTGAGCTTTATTCGTTCTTTCAGAATCCGTTGTCGAATTGGGATCGGCAGAAGCTTTTCCGGTTCGCGCCTCACTTTTTTTACAGCAGCGGCCCAAAACGATCTCCTAACACATGGATTTTCTGCTTCCTGATCATGTGACGTGTGACGTACGTTGATTAAGATCGGCTTTGAAGCTGGGATGTTTGTTCTCACGGTGCGGGGGCTCGTTCCGACGCCCACACAGCAAAATAATGCAAATGGCGACTTTAGTCGTCATTGGCAGTGATTGACTTAATATTAGAATATTTCATGGCCATCAGATTTAAATGGACTTTTTCTGAAAGTCTTCATCAGATGTCCATCTTCAATCCTTTTAGAGGCAGATATTCAATATGACTGTCACATATAACCATCCTTAGCCAATACAAATAAGAATAATTAAACCGATTTTGCAAATTTCTACAAATAGTTTATGGGCCTTTTCCACCAGTACCTACTCAGGGAAGCTCAATTCAGTCTGGCCTGGTTCCAAGGATTTCCCACTAGTAATGATATCAGATTTAACCTGTTTCCATATGGGCCCAAGCATACTGAGCTGAGTAGAAAACGCAACATCAGAGGCTGTGGTTCACTGATTGGCTAGGGAATGAATTCACTTGTTCCTCCAGAATATGCTGTCTTGCTGCCCTCCATTATGGTTCATGTTAAACAGTTTGGACTGTTTATTGAATTTTCCTACAATAAATTCAGTGAAAAAAATTGCTAATAATGTTTCACTGAATGTATCACAATATATGTTGATACATTGTATTGTCTCCCCTGAATCGTGATATGTATTGTATCGCCAAAATATCACAATACACATCCCTAACACGTACAGTTGTAGCCAAAGGTTCAGAGAATCATTTATAGACCCCTTGAAACGTGAAACCCTAACCCTGTCATTTTTCTACATATTAAAAGATTTTGAAAGAACCGGCTGATACATGACCTTAATTTGTTCGGGCAAGAAGATGTTCGTCAAACCAGGCAAGATTCAAAAGATTCTTTCCAGGTAAAAACATCAAAGTGAAATTGATATTATCTTTGCTAAACTGAACTCTAAATGTATAACATATAAAACTTGCCATGTATGAAATGTGTTGCCATAAATGGACTGTGACAAAATATTTACGTGTCCTGTTTTGTTCTGTGAACCCTGCCACACGCCAGAGTTCTGCTGAATTGTTCCTTTTTAGTCAAGGTGGCAGAGGACATTCGGAAAGGCAAAATATTTGCAGATGAGGCACTCATTGTTTACATGATAAAAAGCTCCCCGGGGTGGGTCATATTTCCCATGCACGTCCTCAAAGCAGGGCTGTGAAGCTGAACATTTTCCTTTTTTATTTAAATGCAAATGTTCTGCATGTTTACAGATTGTGTCTTTATTATTGTCTGGTTCAATTTTTGATTGGCCTTGTCTTTCTGTCACTGGCACGCTCTTCTCCAGATGGATGGAGGCTGTTAGAAAAGGAAAGGTTTATGAAAATGAAAGCCAAATTATAGACACTAATTCAAACAAACACAAGCTAACTCGTAGAGACACATCCATTCGGCTCCCCCGTTGTCCCCTGCTCTCTGTTGGGGGGGGGGGGGGGGGGGGCATTTGTTTAAGGATGACAAAAGGGGACTTAGTGCGTACTTTACATTTACAATCAAATCAGGATTCAAATGATGGCCACTCACTGAAGGCCATATTTGTTCTGTAACAAATTTCACTCCTTCCTCATCACCAGTGGCTGCCCAGTCTGACCACACCCGGGAAATCTGTGGCCACCATTTGCATGGACAAAGAGAACAGGAGGAAGGGCCTTCCGTCTGGCTAAAATAACAAGTTGACACGAACAATACAAGAGATTTATTTTTGACTTTCACGAAGGATTTTCCTTGGAGTTAATCCCTTGCTCTATTTTTGTCACGAAGGCACGACTTTAGCTGTTGGATCGTACATCGACTGGAGAGTGTTTTATAATACAGTGCAGATAAAGGCTCCTCATAATGACTGAACACAATATCATGTGTTACACGGTGTTTAAGTTTGTTCCTGTTGGTCTAATTTGTTGGGAAATCTTTGGGTACAGATTTAGATTTAGAAAGGGTTTGAAAACAATTTGCGTGGTGAGTATACATCTGGCCGAGGGGGGGGGGGGGGGGGGGGGGGGTTGCTTGGAGCCGAACTAAACAGCAAATCTGGTCGGTAGTAATAATTTTTTACCACAATTATTTAATCTATTGAGAGAACAGACATGTTTTCTAAACTAACCTTAAATTCCGGCCTTAAAGGGAACAGATCTTACCCCGGCTTTCCACAGCAGCCGTCAGCAGCACGTTACTGCAGCAGCACGTCATAGCTGCTGATAGGAACCACTGTGGTCAACAGAACCTTTTCCACTGGAGCCGTCAGCAGCGCGAGTCGGCCGCGTCTCAGGAGCAGCATGTCGCGGCCTTTACGCGCCGGTTCTATTTTCTACGTGCGACGCCTCTGAAACTGGTCAAGTTCGACATTTTTGGGGAAGGAAAGACAGGAAATCGGACGCGGAAATGGAGAGAAGCACCCGAGATTTTCAGAATAAAGAACGTACTGCCTTCCGGTTGCTTTACTTTAGAAAAGGTTACTAGCTGTGCGGCCCCGTGAGAAGTTATCACCTAGCCAGCGGTCTCCTTTGTTTTTCAGGTCCGTATTGGCGATTATAAAATGGACAGAACATAAAACACAAACCATTTTGTAGTTTTATCCTGCTTGTTGTTGTGTTTACCGTGCTCGGTCGGTGACAGCTGCTCCCCTGCTGCTTCGCGTCTCGTGGGAAGGGCCAAGCAGCAGTTTACGCGAGCAAGACGTGCTGCTGCAGTAACGTGCTGCTGACGGCTCCTGTGGAAACCCGGGGTTATAGGGTCAGGATTTAAGGGTTAGTTTACATCTTAAACTGGTGAGGTGAGAAGCTAGCTTTAGCTAAGCTTCACCCACTATTCTGTTGATGAAGAGAGCTTTGTAATCATATTTTAGTTTAATCTAAGGCCAGTGACATTATTTATTTATTTATCTACCAATGATGAGTTTGGAACGGATCAAATGGATCTCATTTCTATCCTGCCAATTCTAATATTAATTTAATAGTTTTTTATTAAATGTTTATTTTTTTTATTTTGTTGGCTTTCAAATGATTCCTCTGATCCAAGGCTGAGCCCTGGTGCTCAAACACAGGATACATTTTTCACACTTTTCTGTT